TTATATCTCATCCAATTGCTAAGGACACTGATTTCGTCTGTTCCTATGACTCTCTGCGATCCGACTGGGCGATTGTGCAAATTTTTCCTTTCTTGTGGTTGGATGTGAGAGAGAAAACTCCGTAAGAGAGAGAGACCGAGAGAGAGAGAGAGAGAAAAGAAAAAAAACATTTGTTACGTGGTATGTATTTAGTCACTGCGGCATGGGATTCTGACGGGAAAAAATGATGGGGAGAGAGAGAGAAGGAGGGGAAAGAGGGAGGGAAAGATGGAGGGGAGAGAGGGAGGAAGGGAGGGCCCGAGAAAGAGGAGGAGGGAAGGAGATAGATCGATCGATAGATAGATATATATACAGATAGATAGATAGATAAACAGATAGAAAAATAGATAGATAGATAGAGTGAGTGAGTGTGCAAGCGAGCGAGAGTGCAATTGAATGAATGAGTGAATGAGTGAGTGAGTGAGCGAGTGAGTGAATGAGTGAGTGAGTGAGCGAGTGAGTGAGTGAGTGAGTGAGTGAGCGAGTGAGTGAATGAGTGAGTGAGTGAATGAGTGAGTGAGTGCGTGAGTGAGTGTGCGTGCATGCAATGTATAAGTGTGCATGCCATCGTTGGAAAATACATCGCCCGCACCCAAGTCACTGAAACCAAATAACTAATATTTCCTTCCCCTTCCCTTCCGTTTCCCCCTCCCCCCTCCCCTTCCTCTCCCCTTCCCTCTCCCTCCCCCGCCTCCCATCCCTGCCCCTGGAGGAAATAGAGCGACGAACAATGAAAAGGAGACTGGAAACACGAGGGGATAATAACTGCGGATAAAGGAAGGGAGGAAGAGAGGAAGAGAGAAAGAAGAAGAAGAAGAAAACCTGATTACAAAAGCTGGAGAAGAAGAAAAAAAATAGGAAGGCAAGACCGCAAAAAAAAAATCAATGTGAATAGAAGAAAATAAAAATTAATGATAACGTTTTACTTCAAAGGGTTTTTACAGCTGGATGCAGTCGTATTACAGAGTGATTTTTTGTTTGTTTGTTTGCGAATAATGCACCAAAAATATGGAAATGTAATTTAACAAAGAAAGAAGAAATTGAATTGAAGAGAAGAAGAAAAAAGGGAAATAAAGAGTAAAAGATTTCGCGGTTTGCAATAAAGGAATGAGAATGGAAACATGAGAAGGATTTTCTTTTTAGGAGAAAGGAAGAATAACAAAGACTCACTTTCTCTCTCTCTCTCTCTCTCTCTCTCTCTCTTTCTCTCCTTTTCTCATTCTCTCTCTCTCTCTCTCTCTCTCTCTCTCTCTCTCTTTCTCTCCTTTTCTCATTCTCTCTCTCTCTCTCTTTCTCTTTCTCTTTCTCTTTCTCCTTCTCTCTCTCTCTCTCTTTCTTTCTCATTCTCTCCTTTTCTCTCTCTCTCTCTCTCTCTCTCTCTCTCTCTCTCTCTCTCTCTCTCTCTCTCTCTCTCTCTTTCTCTCTCTTTCTCATTCTCTCCTTTTCTCATTCTCTCTCTCTCTCTTTTTCTCTTTCTCTTTCTCTTTCTCCTTCTCTCTCTCTCTCTCTTTCTTTCTCATTCTCTCCTTTTCTTTCTCTCTCTCTCTCTCTCTCTCTCTCTCTCTCTCTCTCTCTCTCTCTCTCTCTCTCTCTCTCTCTCTCTCTCTCTCTCTCTCTCTCTCTCTCTTTCTCTTTCTCTCTCTTTCTCATTCTCTCCTTTTCTCATTCTCTCTCTCTCTCTCTTTCTCTTTCTCTTTCTCTTTCTCCTTCTCTCTCTCTTTCTTTCCCCTTCTCTCCTTTTCTCTCTCTCTCTCTCTCTCTCTCTCTCTCTCTCTCTCTCTCTCTCTCTCTCTCTCTCTCTCTCTCTCTCTCTCTTTCTCATTCTCTCCTTTTCTCTCTCTTTCTCTTTCTCTTTCTCTTTCTCTTTCTCCTTCCCTCTCTCTCTCTCTCTCTCTCTCTCTCTCTCTCTCTCTCTCTCTCTCTCTCTCTCTCTCTCTCTCTCTCTCTCTCTCTCTCTTTCTCATTCTCTCCTTTTCTCTTTCTCTTTCTCTTTCTCCTTCTCTCTCTCTCTCTCTCTCTGTCACAAAACAAGGACACGTTAAAACAAGATATTAAATAAATCACACTAAAACTAAAACAAGCAAACAAACAAAAAAGAAGAAATTTCATTTTTCATTTTCTTCTTTACATTTCAAAATGTAAAAGAAGGGAAATTAAAAGTGGGTATTTCCCCTTTGAGATATATATTCGAAATATTTGATACAACAACGCCAATAACGACAATATCCAAACCCAATAACGACAACAAACGAACAAACAAACAAACAAAACAAAACAAAACAAAAAACGAATTCGGCAAATACACAAATGAAAGAAAACAACAACAATGAATAACAATAAAAAAGAAAACACACGAATGCACATGAACTAAAAAAAAGAAAAGAAAAAAAAGTTCAATATACAGAGCCAAAACTTAATAAAACTTAATGCAAAACTTAATAAAAAAAAAAAGGTAAGAATGATAATTAAAGAAAAAAAAAACTATAGTAATGGCAACGAGAGAGAGAGAAAGTTTTTTTCGCGCCAAAATGAAAGTCGAATGTTGTTATCGCCTTGACTCTTAATTAATACCTGGCATTTTTTTTTTTATTTACCAATATCTTTTTATTGCTCAATGTTCTTTGTATTTATTTATTAATCTAGCGTTATTGTGTATCTTTAACTGTAACTATTTCGCCTGAGCTTAAAGAATAGGGTATGGGGGGGGGAGGAGGAGAAAGTGGAGGAGGAGGAGGAGGAGGAGGAGGAGGAGGAGGAGGAGGAGGAGGAGGAGGAAGAAGAGGAGGAGGAGGAAGAAGAGGAGGAGGAGGAGGAAGAAGAGGAGGAGGAGGAGGAAGAAGAGGAGGAGGAGGAGGAAGAAGAGGAGGAGGAGGAGGAAGAAGAAGAGGAGGAGGAGGAAGAGGAGGAAGAAGAAGAGGAAGAGGAGGAGGAAGAGGAAAAGTAGATAGAAGAGGGAGAGGGAGAAGATAAGAGGGAAGGAGGGAGGAGGTTGAATGAAAGGCAGAGGCAGGCAGAGAGACATACAAAGGGGAAGTAACACTGAGATAGAGAGAGTGTGTGTGTTTGTATGCGTGTGTGTGCGCGTGTGGGTGTGCGTGCGTGTGCGTGTACGAGTGTGTATGTATGCGTCCCTCTCCCTCTCTCTCTCTCTCTCATTCTCTCTCTCTCTCTCTCTCTCTCTCTCTCTCTCTCTCTCTCTCTCTCTCTCTCTCTCTCTCTCTCTCTCTCTCTCTCTCTCTCTCTCTCTCATTCTCTCTCTCTCTCTCAGTTCAAATAATAATAAATCACGTCATGAAAGCCCATCACACACATAAAACAAAACATTGCATTACGAAAAAAACAAAGAAAAAAAAGAAAACATGAAAAAATGAAAGAAAGTGAAGAGCGAAGTGAAACACTTTGAGGGAGTCTCTGTAAGAGCTTCAGTAAAACGACCATCAAAGCTACGGCCCGCCAGAAAAGCGAAAGAGAGAGAAAGGGAGAGAGAGGGAGAGGGAGAGAGGGAGGGAGAGAGGGAGAGGGAGGGAGGGAGGGAGGGAGGGAGGGAGGGAGGGAGGGAGAGAGGGAGAGAGGGAGGGAGAGTGGGAGAGTGGGAGAGAGGGAGGGAGGGAGGGAGGGAGAGAGAGAGAGAGAGAGAGAGAGAGAGAGAGAGAGAGAGAGAGAGAGAGAGAGAGAGAGAGAGAGAGAGAGAGAGAGAGAGAGAGAGAGAGAGAGAGAGAGAGAGAGAGAGAGAGAGAGAGAGAGAGAGAGAGAGAGAGAGAGAGAGAGAGAGAGAGAGAGAGAGAGAGAGAGAGAGAGAGAGAGAAGAAAGAGGGGGGGAGAGAGGGAGAGGGAGAGGGAGAGGGAGAGGGAGAGAGAGAGAGAGAGAGAGAGAGAGAGAGAGAGAGAGAGAGAGAGAGAGAGAGAGAGAGAGAGAGAGAGAGAGAGAGAGAGAGAGAGAGCGTATTAAAGAAATAAGAAGAGAGATAGAAAAATAACTTTGCTCGTAAAAAAAAGAAAAACATCAAAACACCCTGATATCGTGAGGGAATTAATTTCACCAGTTACTACAGCTAATACATATATCGATACGTGGTTAAATAAGCGCATGGAAGGAAAATAAATAATAAAGCATACAGGGATAAATACCAAAGAGAAATCAAATGAATATATTTTAGGCTCGGTGACGTGAAGAAAAAAAAAAGAGCATGAATCTAGGAAATATAGGAAATAGTTTTATTTTCCTCTACAACCACTTTATCAGGAAAAAAACAAGACATAATATAAAAAAACGTAATATACATACAGAGCAACCACTTTACTTTATAAAATAACTTTATTGGGGACTCCCATCAACGTGGCACTACAAGCCTTGACATGACACTCCCTACACAGCACCTCATGGCACTCCACGATCCTCTGTTCACAACACAACTTTCAAACCCAAGAACTGTTTCATGACATCATGACGCCATCAGGCTCGAAGAATAATGCCACGGGGTCGTAATAGCTGTCATAAACAGTTTCCCTCCGGAGTTTCCCTTCCCGAGAACAAGGGATCACTAAAAACTGCGATAAAAAAAGAAAAGTTTCCCCGATGAAGTTTTCTGGCTATCGAGCGCTGGTTCCTCAACAGGGCGGGGGTGGGGATGGGGATGGGAAGGAGGGGGGGATGGGAGGGAGGGGGGAGGGAAGGGGGATGGGGAAGGAGGAAGAGGGGGAGGAGGGAGGGAGGGAGGGAGGAGGAGGAAAGGGGAAGGGTGGAAAAAAGGGTGAAGAATGAGGAATAGGAGGAGGAGAAAGAACAGGAAGAGTAGGAGGAGAAGGAAGACATCGACCAGCCACATGGAAACCAAACCAAACCTTCGAATCGACAAAACAACAACCGTGACGTCACATCACACCCAAGGTATCAGAAACCACATTTTCGCAACGTCCACGCTCAGAAATCACAAGGAAACGCGAAGGGGAGGATACAGTACCTTGCTGGGGTCGACTGGACATTCGCTCAGGTGCACCACAGGGCCGGGGTGCGTCTTCCTGGATCTGAAAAAAAAGAAAAGGCAAATCAAACTGTTGTTCAGGTGTTCAGTCGAGTTCAATCAAATCAATCAATCAAATAATAAAAATCAAAATAAATTATAAAATAAACAATAACATATAGTTAAAATATAATTCTGAAGCGTGGAGAAAACAGAAGAAATGCAACACCAAACACACATGATGTTCATTTGCCTATAATATTGGTCTTATTCTGTTCTTATCAACCTACAGTATACATAAATTACAAACTACCTCTAGAAATCGCTCAATCACGTTCATGAGAGGAAAAACGACTACCAAAACTCGACCATGAAAAAAATAATAATAACAAAAATAATAAAACAACGACAATAATGATAACAACGATAGCGAAAGAGAGAGAGAGAGAGAGAGAGAGAGAGAGAGAGAGAGAGAGAGAGAGAGAGAGAGAGAGAGAGAGAGAGAGAGAGAGAGAGAGAGAGAAGGTGGAAAAAAGAAGAATGGGGAGAGAAGGGGAATAGGAGGAAGGGAGGAAAACTAAAAAAATCAAACAGGATAACGAAAACGAAACAAAAAAGAGAGAAGAAACGAGCATAGAGAAATAACTAAGTATCCTGTCACCCCCCTCCCCCTCCTTCCATCCCGTCACAGCCGCCGCTTATGAATATTAATAGCCAACCGGGATATTCACACTCCGGCGTAGCGTGCCCGAGAGAGAGGGAGAGGGAGGGAGAGAGAGAGAGAGAGAGAGAGAGAGAGAGAGAGAGAGAGAGAGAGAGAGAGAGAGAGAGAGAGAGAGAGAGAGAGAGAGAGGGAGAGGGAGAGGGAGAGGGAGAGGGAGAGGGAGAGGGAGAGAGAGAGAGAGGGAGGGCTTAGCGGGAGGGAGGAAAGGAGGAAGGGGGGGAGGGAGGGAGGGAGGGAGGGAGAATGAAAGAAAGAGACAGACAGACAGAAATAAATATCGTAGACACATGCAAATATCGTCTCCACGTGAGTCTTGTGAAGCAACGGGGGAGGGGAGGATGATCTGGCCCGCCTACGCCCATGTTTTACGTCGAAAATGTTTGGTCTAAGCACCGGGGAGATGAGCGGGCGCGCGGGGCCAGTTGGGAGCTAATGGGCGTCGTAATCCCTAAATGTAGTTATTATGATGTATATAAAAACAGTAATAACAAGAATTCCCTCGAGAAATGACACTCCCGACTCCGCGTTCTGCCCCGTTCCGCGTGCTGTTCATCTGGAATGTTCCGCGTGTTCTGTTCATCTGCGTGCTCTGTTCATATCTCGGGAAGTTCTGCGTGTTCTATCTACCCGTTTCCGTAGATTCATACTCCAGAATTTCAAAAGAGGAGAAGAATTTTCCCGCGAAAAAAGCAGCAGAATATACGCATGAACCAGAGACGACCCTGGCCGTTAAACGAGGCTGTAAATAGTGAAAGTTACTACGTCGATATGAACGTTCAACAAGAACTTAATGATAATAACATTGAAAATCAAATTCCTTTTCCGATGCCACCCGATTCTGCATTCATCACACGAAGCACAACAATAAATAATAAATGAAGACGGTTGGAGAGAGAAAAAAAAAATCATGGCAAAAATTTCTTGTTTTTGGCAACATTCCCAAACGCTATTTTCCTTTCCTTATAAACATTAGCAGTTCTTCATCTATCATTCTGGGCAACTATCCAAGCGCAGATAAACGGTCATTTCACAGGTAATCCAGAATATAAGAAATTTCCTAATGGCCCAGAGGATGATAAAATAATGACGCATTTCCCTGTGCAGAAGATATTTAAATGCGGATGGCCATGTCCGCAGACCTTTATAAAGTTTATAACGTTCAATCTTACTTGTCACGAGTTTTTTTTTTTCTTGATGAATTAAAAATTACATATGCATGTACACACACACACACACACACACACACACACACACACACACACACACACACACACACACATCACCCTAAAAAGCAAAAACAGACACCATGCAACCCCCCCCCAAAAAAAAAAAAAAGTAAATAAAAAAAGGAAAATAAATCTCGCCTCCACCTCCTGACCCCCCTCACCCCCCACCCCCCATGTAGCACAAGGCAGAGGCGGCGGCCGAGGCGCGCGTCGGCTGCCGCGGCGGTAGATCACAAGTTACCTGGAGTATGTGAGCTCTCTACTCGACCCCCCCCCCCACGCCAAATATTGACACAGGCCGCCACTCTATCTATCTTGATTACACCATGAATATCATTATCTTGCTTTATGCACGGTCTCGCTTTTCGTCGTCGTCCTCCTCTTCGTTTTTATTCGCGTTTGTTTTTTTTTCCCTTTTCATTCTGTTCTTAGGGTCTTCTATTCTTTCTTTCTTATCTTATCCTTTTGTTTCTTTCTTCGTTTCATTCTCAATTTTGTTCCTTTTTTTCTCTCTCGCTCTCTCTACAGTCTCGTCTTTCTCTCTCTCTCT